GGGGGGGGTTTTTTTTTTCCAATTTTTTTTTTTTCAAAAAAATTAACCCCCCCTCTCTTTTTAGGGGAACATTTTTCCCTTTTAATTTTTTTTTTAAAAACCCTTTTTAAAACCCAAGGGGGGAAAAAAAAAAAGGAGGGATTGGGGGGTTCCTTTAAAAAAAAAAAAAAGGGTTGGGAGGGGGGGGGGAAAACCCTTTTTAAAAAAAAAAAAAAAAAAAAAAAAAAAAAAAAAAAAAAAAAATTAATCACAATTTTAATTTTTTTTTAAATTTCTTTAAAATTTTTTAAAAATTTTTTTATTTTTTTTAATTAAAATTGAGCACTTTTTTTTATTTTTTTTTTTTTAAATTTTGAATTTTATTAATTATAATATTTTTATTTTCCTTTTCAAAAACCTTCACAAAACCATATTGATAAATCTAATACTATGGTGCTATTTTTCACTTGTGTTGATGCTTATAATAGCCCTCTTTATTTCTTACATCACAATTAATCTAAAAATATAATATAATATTATTTTCATTTTAATTAATAAAAACCTCAACCAATACAAAAGGTCGAATTATTGTTTTTTTATTTTTGATTATCCATTTTTATCGTTTTTTATAAAATCCTCCGAAAACGGTACAGATAGTTTGAATACAAATAATAGTAGTAATATTCAAACTCAGGATTTAAATTTAAAAAGAAAGATTCATTTGGGTAAATTAATATCATTTTACAACCACCCGAAAGGAAAACCAATGTGCAATATCTTTCCACTTTTTAGACAAAAATAACCCAATAAAGTTAAAGTTGGTTTCTGTTATTTTAAAAAAAAAATAAAAAAGGGCATAAACAAATAATTATGTGTTTTGGTCTATTGGCAAAATTTTCAGAAAAAAAAAAACAAAAAAATACACAATAAGTTTATTATCTATATACATTGTTTTTATTTAAAGTTATCTATATAACAATATAGATTGAAATTATTTAATGACTATTAAAGTCATAATATGTAACTCCGCCATTTGAAAAACCGGCCATCATTGTTTCGCCATCCATTGATAGACACTCTACTGGTGAGAGATTTTTAATTGTTGATAAGAGAGTTGGTGGGCCATTTAAATCCCAAAGAAAAATACTATTTTCATCCCCAGAGCACATTCTCGAATTATTATACATACTAAATGCCTTAACTTTTGATGTATGAGATTTAATTGAATAGATTGGACTAAATAAAAAATAAAATAATTAATAAATGTTAAAATAAAAAAACCTATAAAATTAATACTTACACTTGATTATTTCTAAAATCCCAAAAATTAATAGTTCTATCGCTTGAACCAGTTAAAACTTGATAATCTCCAAGGAAATCTATACAGTTAATAGCACCTTTATGACCATTAAAAACCTGTGTAATTTTATTTGAATCTGTATCCCAAAGCTTCAATGATTTATCTGTGCAACCTATAAAATAATAATTTCTAAATTTTCCTAGTTTACATTGTTTAATCTTGGTACCTTCAGCTTGATAGCTAATTAGTTGTTGTTCAGTATCTTGATCATAAAGCTTAACGGTATTATTTTCCCATGAGAAAACATCTCTATTATTGAAAATAAAACCATCAGAAACATAAATGAATCTTTGCTCTCTTTCGACCTCTTTAGTTGCTAAATTGTAAAATTGAATTGTACCATTTGAACAACCAAGTCTTATAAACCCATGGGTATAAACGCAATATGGAAAGATTTCGGTTGAAAGCTTTGAGGCGTTATCTTTTTCAAATGAAATTACTGCTGAACTATTCCTAGTACTTCCCTCACATTGTTTGGTGGCAATGTTCCAACTTTTAAACTCTTTATCTTTTGATGAAGTTAAAAATTGATCTGGTGCTAATTGTAAACATGTAATTTTGGCCTTATGTCCTCTTAATTGACTTGTTCTACCATTACCAGTTTTCCAATTTTTACTAACTACCTCTTTTTCTTTAAACATATTCCTCCAATAATTATTATCCTTTAGTTGGTTTACAATTGGCAATGCAATTTTATTTACTTGTTGTGGTTGCAATTGCGGTTGTTGTTGTAATTGTGGTTGTAATTGTGTTTGTAGTTGCGGTTGTGGTTGCAATTGTGGCTGGTCTATCGATGATGTTGAAGATGGTATACAACCGTTGCAATTATTACATGTGGAGTCTTTAGAATCGATGCTTGTTTGAATATCCTCCATATCACCATTACTGCTAAGATCATCCATGTTGTTATTATTTGATTTTTCTAAATTTTTATCTTCGATCGAGCTCCATTTAAAAAGAGAATCTGAGCTATTTCTGTTAAACTTCTTTGTATATAATTCCTTCCAAACATTATCATCGGAACAAATTAGGTTGAAATATTTACAAGTTTGGGCCATCCTTAATAAGTACTGAGCATCCATAAAAGAAAATACAAATAATATAATTTCGTATGGTAAATGTCCAAATAACGAATCTGTTTTTAAATTTTCGTTTGTTAAAGTTTGTTTTGGAACTTTCTTTTGAGGTTTGTTTAGGTGTATTCCACTTTCCATCAATAATACAAATGGTCTCTTTGTAATAAAGTTTTCCCAATCTTGCGAAAATCTTAAGTATTCGATTTTATCAATAGACATACAACTATCACTATGGATACTTGTTAGTGATGTTGAACCAGTGCAAATTGTTGCATTTGGTTGAAAAGCTGATCCGGTTCCATCAGAGCTATGATGTGTATTACTTTCGTTTGGTGGTGATGTTGAAAAACAAAATTGGGTTGGAACTGTAATTGATGTCGAATTTATTCCATTATCTCTAAATTTTCTTTTCTTTTCATTTTCGTATGGTGATGGTGGTGGTAATGGTAAACCAGAAATTTTCTTTGGGCTTGTTGGGTTAATATTATTATTATTTGGCGGATAAAGATGACAGTTTGAAAACATCTCTGCTAATTCTGAAAATTTTTCATAATTATTCCAATGTGGAAAAATTTTATTATAATTTATTGTATAGGATGGATTAATTGAATAGGTTTTAATTGATTCAATCGTTGCTCTAGTTTTTTCTGAAATAATATATAATATCTAATAAAATGTATCGATTAGTATATATTCATAAATATTTTTTTGAGTTTAAATATTTGGTATAGTTACCTTTTTCTTTGGAAAAACCTTATATAAAAATGTTGGTAAAAACATTCTAAATCTTAATAAAATTCTAACTATACAACCTCTTTCCTGTGGACAAATATAATAACCAGAGGGATAATACCAAAAGAATTTTTCTGACATTCTTGGCTTTAATAAAGAACGATACCCCAGAAAAACAATGCCTTTTGGTAGATGATTAACTTGTTTAACCAAAATTGTTTTTAATTCTTCTTTTGGATTTAAAATTGATCTAAATTGCATACGCTCCAATGATGTAACATTGTCAATTTGTTTTAAAGTTGTCATTCCACTAGTCCATTGGTCCAATTTGCATGAATAATCTGAAAATATAAATGAGCTTATAACTTCTGAACTTGCATCTATAAATATACTGCCACTACAAACAAAATCGATATTATCCTCATCATAATCCTTGTAATAGAAACTAAGATCATTGAATTTTCTATAAATGTTCCATCCATTTAGTGCGGGTTTATCCTCTATTTCACCAATAGTTTTACCAGTCTCTTTGAAAATACTTGTTGGTCTTTTATATATATCGATCATACCATCGTCAATGTCTAAATACTCTAATTCTTCTGCCAATTGTTCTATTTGTTTGGCAATCATTCTATCGTTTCTAATTTCGCTAATACTCTTTGGAATTTCCATTGAATGATTATATCCATTGATATGATTCTCTTTTTCTTTTTCATAAACATTCTTTATATATTTGATTAGATATGGTAATGTATTTGTGATTTGAATACCTGTATTTCTATATAACCTTTTTAAATCAACCGAGTTGACCCGTAGATATGGTGCAATCATTAAATCTGAAATCTGTGCAACTAAAGTAATTCTTGTTCTATTTGGTGTAACTTCTAAAAACTGCCAACCTGATGGTTTCATATATTCTGGGTTTTCTATCGATTCATGATGAATTGATCTAATAACACAATATGCTGCTTTATTCTCATAGTCAATATCAAAATGTCTTAAAAATACAAAACTTCTTGGTATACCGCCAAGTGGTGACGCAAATGTATAAAAATCTACTGTATTGCAACTATCTAACTGTTCTATTTTTTTTGACTAAAAAAAAATTAATTTTAAATAAAAAATAAATAAATATTGGTTTGTTGTTTTTTTTTTAACTATAAAATATTTTAAATTATTTACCTCTATGCATAAACAGTCCCATGTTTTTTGTAAATTTGCATTATATAAAACATTTAATGGTAATTCTGGTGATGTATCAATTTCCCCAACACATTTAAAAATTAAACCTTCTTCTGTCGGATTTTCAAAAGATTGAACTGTACACTCTTCATATTCCCCCAGATCTGTCCAATTGATTGTAGTACTTTCTATTAAATATTTAACTTCTTTGTGAACACTTTCCACTAAATCTAGTCCATTTATATATTGCATTTTTTTTTAAATTTCATAAAATTCTTTAAAAAATTAATTTTTGAATTACTATTATTTTTATCTACAGTTTATTATTTTTACTATTATTATATTTATTAATATATAAAAAAAAAAAAAATTATTAATTATTTAACAATTCGCATACGCTGATATTTTATTATTATTTTGTTATTATCTGTTATTTTTATTGCTAATTTTTTTTATTATTTAAATTGTGCGATAATTAAACAAAAAAAAAAATTTTAATTATTTTATTTAATTAAAACTATATATTTATAAAGATCTTGAATAGAATTTAGTCTTTTTTTTTTATTTTATTTTATTTTTTTTTTATTTTATTTATTTTAATTTTATTTTATTTTATTTTATTTTTTTTTGTTTTTTTTTTTTATTGCATGGAATATTATTTTGTATTTATGAATAGATTGTAATGGAGGTTTGGTTTAATATGGTGCTATTAATTACTGAAAAAACTATAAATATTTTTTGTGTGAATAATTATTATTCGAAAAAAAAATAAAAAAAAATTTAAATATTCGAAAAAAAAAAATAAAAAAAAATAGTTTTATTTAATATCTATTGGTTTGACTATGGTACAAAGAATAAATCAAATATGGTAAATTTGTTAAAATAAATACACAAATAGAAATTTATTTTATAAAATAAAAAAAAATTATTATTTGTGTAAAAAAACTAAAAAAAAAATTTAAAAAAAACTATAAAAAAATATAGGAATTATTGTGAATGATAAATATCTTTTCGAAATTTAAGCCTCTTATTAACCAAAGGTATTAATTATAAAAAGATTATCCATATTTAAAAGATTGCACATAGCTATATGATACTATGTTTGAAAAATAAAAAATAAAAAAAATGAAAAAAACTTTTGAAATTTTTAAAGAAAGTGTGTTTTTTTTTTTTTTAATTACAAAATAATTTTTTCCAACGAATAATGATCAATTTTAAGTTTTTTTTTCTTTTTTGGAAAGGTGGGCTTCATATATATTTACCTACACTTTACTTTTACTACTAAATTATGAAGGGTGATTATTGAAAAATAAAAATAAATAAATAACTGTAAAGAATAAAATTATAATCACAGGATATTTTTTTTATAAAATTTTTATTTTAAAACAAATAAATAATAAAAAAATTAAAAAAAAAAAGATATATTATTTTTTTTTAAAAAATTTTATATTTTATATTTTTTAGTTTTTTGGTTTTTGCAAAGTTATCCTTTAATGATGATAAATATTTTTATGAAAATATTTTTGTTCAATCTTTTTTAAAGAATGAATGGATATTGGATTATGTGTTACAATCATTTTTGGCTATAAAGCTCAGAAATTTTTATTTTGCGTAGCTTCGATCCTATTTGAATTAAAAAAAAAATAAAATTTATTCACTTACGTATGAAAAATCACTTCGTTGGTAAAGAAGTGTATGATAAAATTGATTATTATAATTAATGACACAAAAAAAAAAAAAATTATGCCATGCACCAAATAAAGTACAATATAAAATTTAGATATTTTGGTAAAATTTTTTTTTTTATTTTTTTAAATTTTTTTTGGCACCCCATCTTCCATATTTTTATATAAAAATGGTTGATTGATTGTTGTAATGGCGCCATATTCAATGTCTCTTGAAATTTTAAAAAATTTTTAAAATATGCATCCAAACTTAATCATTAGCTTCAATTTTTTCTTTTCTTTTATTTATTTTTTATTTTTTTATTTATTTTATATATTTTATTTATTTTTTTATAAACACATCGATGTTTTTATACAACGAATAGTTTTTAATTTTTTAAAATAAATAATTTGATTTTTTATTTTTTTTAATTTTGATTTTATAATTTAGCTTGTGGAAGGGTTTTTCTTTTTTCCTCAGCTTGAACAGCAACAAGAAATTGGTTTATATTTCTAATATAATCTTTGGTGTGGTGTCTAAGATGACTAACGTGTTCCGATTTTTCCCAGTGTTGGATATGGATTAAGTCATCTCTAATATATTGTTTTAATCTTTTAATAAATTCTTCGACTTCACTGCCAGGTATTAATTTATCATCGGTTGAATATAAAATTGTGTGAACATATTGGTTCTAAAATTTAAAATTTTTTTTTAGTTTTATATTTTTTTTTTGAAAAAACAAAATGGAGTAACTAAATACATACCTTTGGATGGGTTAAATATTTTCTATATAAAACAAAATATGGAAACCAAACTGCAGCGGTTAAGGGTAATGCCATATATGTTCCAATACCACCTCCCATTGGTTTTGCTAAAGTCCAAAAACCAGTGAAAAGTTGTTTATTTGTAAATGTTGGTAAACTGTCCATAACTACACCTTTGATCATTGGGTGAATAGATTTGTACTCTTCCATTCCTAACATATATTCAATGAATGTCCAATAAAGAAAACCACCACCATTTGAAAAGATATGAAATATAACAGAATCACAATTTGGTCTTTCTTTTAAATAGTTTGCGATTTGTTTTAACATAACCTCTGCTTTTCGTCTGATACCAAAAATTGATAAACTAAAATTTAAAAAAAAAAAAAAAAAATATTAGTTTAATAATTAAAAAAAAAAAAAAATTATTTAAATAAAATATTACATTTCGAAATAATCTGCTCTATATGAAAGTGTATTAAAACCTCTTGAGGTCCATAAATTGATATATTTAATTAAAAGTTTTTGGGTGCTTCCCATCCAGCCCAAAACAATACATAATGGTCTTGACTCCATATCATCATCTGCTGATTTTTTGATTATGCTAAGGTTTGGATTATTTGAATTTTTATCGGTTGGGATAAAAGTGAGATGATTATTTTTATTTTTGGGGTCTATCGATGGTGTAACTTCAAATTTACATGGAATGTGTGCCGCAGTTTTTGAACTGGTAATGGTTTTATTATTAGATGTGGACATAGTTTTTTTTTATTTCTCTATATTTATTAAATATATTTTTATAAATATCTATTACTAAAAATTAAAATAATAAAAAAAAATAAAATAAAAAAATAAAAATGAAAAATAAAAAAAATTAAAAAAAATAAAAATAAAATAAAAAAAAATAAAAAAAATAAAAATAAAATATATTGTGCTATGTCTCTCCAAATATAGTTATAAATAACATTCTCTAAATTTCTGTTTATCAATTTCTATTATATTGCTTTATCCTTTTTTCTTTTTGTAATTTTAATTTTATTTTATTTTTTTTAAAATTGGTCAGTTTTTTTTTTTTTTTTTTTTTTTTTTTTTTTTTTTTTTTTTTTTGGAGGGGTTTTCTTTGTAATTTTTGTACCCCTATGGGTTTATTTTAAAAAGGCCCTCCTGTTTCTTGTTTTAAAAAAATTTACAAATTTTTTCCCAAAAAGGGATTTTTCAAATCCCCTAAGTTAAAAAAAAAAACCGGGTTTGTTTTTAAACCGGGGGAAGGGTTTTTTAACAAAACCAAAGGTTTTTTCAGGGGAAATTTTTAAACCCTTCATACCAAATGCAACACCTAGGGGGGTTAAACCACAACAACCTTTTTTGCGGGAAATAAAAAAGGAAAACCCGGGTTTGCTTTTTAACGGGCCCCTAAAAATTTGAAAACCCCCTTTAAAGTTTCTGTTTAAGGGGGGATCAAAATTTTGGAAAACCTTTACCCGGAAAAATCTAAAAGGGGGAAAACTTTTGGGAACCGAAACTTCTTTGGGGCCATTTAAAATTGGGCCAAAATTTTTTTTTTCCAA